ATTCACACGAGGCAAAATGCGCGGTCCAAGAAATACGGATATCTAAACAGATCCGGTATTTGATGTAAATACGCGGCTTCTCAGACCCGAATAATTTGCGTGCTTGAGAAATTACCGGATCTCTTGACCGCGCATTTCTCGTGTGAACGCTAAATACCGCGATTTCTGAAGTCGCGTATTTTATAGACTGCCTCCGCGCTCGACAGTTCCAGTGTAACGCGAGTGGAACGTCGAGCGGCGGACCAGTCTACGTATTTGATCCGGCAGTTGGTGCACATCGATTGTTTATTTCGCATTGTTCGCTTGATTGTTTAAAGCAGCTCGCAGCTCGCAGCTCGCAGCTCGCAAATACGGCATTTCTGGAGCCCAGCGAATCAGCGTGTGAACGCTCGGCCCGCGTATTTGTCTCAGATACGGTATTTCGCAAATACCGTATTCATAAATACGAGGTCTCGTGTGAACGAGGCTTATATTCACCACATAGCATGGTATTTTATCTGCCTCCTTTGCCTAACATATATCAGTGAAGTATAAAGGTCAGTAGAATGTATCATGTTCATGATAGAGTTAACCACATACATTAATCCTCTTTATACCAAATTATTTACTCCCGAAAATATAAATGTCATATTAAATGATAAAAAAGGCAGCTCTGTTATTAAATAGAGGTTTTCTATAATCCTATAGTGGCATGATAATGATAAAAACAACTACCCCCAAAATACGACCAACCCTGCAATGAAAGATGTCTTTACAACTTGTTCTCGAACCAGAGTTTTTTCCATGAAAATGAATGTCGTCACGGGGAATGCCTCATCTAATGGGCGCCTTTTATCACATGTTACTCGCACGTAATTAAAATTATATATAAAATTGATTAAATTACGACGAAATCAAGCCACCCACTGTATTTTGTAGCCACCTATAATTCAATGCTGCAAATGATACTGTGCCTGACCTCGCTTGGACAGCACCTCCTGTTACTAGTAGGGTCCCTATATACAAAGTATATAGAGACCCTAAGAATCTTTACTATAGGCTCTAGACAGAGAAACGTGCAAAACATGTTTCATAGAGTCACTCTGTGCCCCCTTGTGCCTAGCAATTAGCTCAAGCAACCATGCATCCATCAAAGAGAATTACTATACTTCCTTCGTACAACGGGATATATAAATTTAGTGAAACTTGCGCAACAAGTGCTACGGCTGTGCACGAACTGTGGTGGCGTTTTTACTATACTTTATCACTAGAACTCATATTAACAGGTATGTAGATGGACTCATCCTCTTCTTAATTGAATACTTCGTTCAAGGATGAGATTGAAACAATTTCCAGGCTTTCAAGCAAAAAACCTGGTTTTTAACTTGTTTCATGTTCGTATACGTTATACATATGGCTACTACGATAAATATAGTTTATTACAATATTTATGTTGTTACTAAAATCTATCACGCTCTAAGATAAATTTTACAATGTGTTTTACCCGTAAGTTAAAAGTAAAAAAAGCCAGACTGCGTTTGCCAATATTCATAATACTATATATCATATATATATATATATAATATATTACCTATTAACAAGACACTATTCGAAAACATTTGCACACGCTTCCACTGCATCGTGCACGACGCATCATTGCATCGTGATCTATCATAAGCGCGTGCGTCTGTGCACAAAGACTGCCTTTATTACATAGCTTGAGCAACCCATCAGGTAATTACACCTAATCTATATCATCTTGTCAGAGCGGCTTTGTTACTTTACTCTCATCTATGTTCGCCACAGATGACAACAAACGTACGTAATTAATTCATATTATCTATGCCAGTATTTTGTTAACGCTTAACGCAGCCTTAGACAACACATTACAATTAGAAGCAGCTTACTAATCATGAAGCTTCGCCCTGGTCAGTCACAAACGTACATAATTAATGTGGATCCATGTCAGTGACCCAACGCCTCAAAGACAAACGCACATTAAAAAAACTCCCAGGAAAATTATACATCAATACGCATACGCTTGACACTCCAGTTCCGAATCAAAACCACGAAATCTCATTATGAACGTTCCCCCTGAAGTCGTGCAAGATGAGTCGTGAGGAAGTATTCAATTTAATCTTTTCGGTTCACCCGCAGATCATACTCAAGTGCCCCCTGAGGCCGTGCAAGGTTTGAGATAGTGAAGTATATCGCATCCCTTTTCGGTTCACCCGCGCGTAGCGCATATATACAAGTTCCCCTAAAGGTCGTGTAAGATTTTAAATTCGAAATATTATTAAGTATTCTTTCGTTCACGCGTAGCTCGTACTCATGTCTTACCGGCCGTAGTAGGGAGATCACCACACACGCAGCACACATGCCGATGGATGGATGGATGGATGGATGGATAGATGGATGGATAGATGTATGGATGGATGGATGAGATGTGATGGGATGGGATGAGATAGACAGATGAATGGGCAGACAGGCAAATAGATAGTAATTTTCATTGGTTTAGCTTACACATCTGTGTGGCCCTGACTTCTAATGTTCCTGAACCTTCACATGTGCGTGACCTACTATCCCTCAAGCCTTTCTAACGTTGGAAACATGACACAGGGACGTTGAGTCTGAAGAGAAACTCTAACCAGCAACGTATGGCCATTCAAAAAATTTGTTACACAGGCAGTTCACAATAAAACTACCAGATCTGGGTGCAGGCTGATCGAAGATACAGGATATAAGCCGAAATCTATAACATATGTGAAGCTGGTAATCAACTTACCTTATCATTTGGCTGTTCCGTGTACAACGGTATCTGTTTCACAAGTGTTGCACCTAGTTCAGACGTCCAGTCCTCACTGTCCACTTCATCTAGCGTCTTTGACAACAACTGCAAACAACAAAAGCACGACAGATTGGCAAATAATTAATCATCATGTGCATACATGTGTGCGTGCGTGCATGCGTGCGTGCGTGCGTGCGTGCGTGCGTGTGCGTGTGCGTATGAGTGAGTGTGTGCGTGTGTGCGTGTGTGCATGTGTGTGCGTGTGCGTGTGCGTCTGCGTGTGCATGTGTGTATACATGTGAATGCAAATATACCAATTGCCTTAGCTGTACCTTTCTTACGTTAGAAATTGTACCTTGAGAATAAGATCTTCCCAGCTCTTTTGTGACCAGTCCTCCTCCTCCTTATCTTCTGCAGCTGGCAAAATCACAAGCAAAATTAGGCACAAATGATTTACACAAAGTTTTTGTACAAATATTTTTCATTGTGATTGCTATAGAGCTCTGTTCCCTGCCACAGACTACATTTTACACTAGACTGCATTTTATAGCATAATTAGTTTTGTTAATTACGAAGCCTATACTATGTTTGTCAGTATAGTTAATAAAATACACATACCTTCAAGGTATTGTATCAGTTTAGGGATGACAGTGTCCCACAATGCCACGATGCTCTTGTTTATATTGGGAGACATCGCTTTCATCAGCTTTAATACATGTGCACCTCTGCCCCTGCCTGCCTTCGGATGGGCAGTCAACACCTTAACACCATCAAATAGACTGTTATAATCATAGATCCTTCTGACAGGGGCTATGTCTGACTGTCTGACTGACAGTCTGAATGTCCGGCCAGACTGTGACAGACAGACTGAAAGTCTGACTGTCTGATGCAGGGGCTATGACATGCAAACATGAGTTAATGTAATTTCGTAATATAGAGACTGAAATTGCTTAACAGGAATGACAAGTGTTACTATACATAGAGATTTAGTTACTGTTTCCATAACAATGAAGTTAAAGAATGATGGGAATTAGCTTTACTTACTAGCAACCTTGCCAACAGCTCATGAGGCTTGGGAATATTTGCTGCAAAAATAGAGACCAACAAATTAACACATCTGTCTTAAACTGGCTCATAATCCAGCACAATCTAATACATCAGGTGGAAATATCATACGAATAACTATATATATATATATATACCAGCGGGATACCCGGCGTTGCCCGAGGAAATCAGTGGCGTTACTCAGTTGGTGACCGCTTGGTTGAAAGGAAAATGCCCAAAAAATCGAACTATCTATCTATCCATGCATCCATCCCATTCCATGCCATCCCATCCCATCGCACTGCATCCCATCCCATCCTATCCCATCCCATCTCATCGCATCCCATCCCATCCCATGACAATGATCCCATGCCATGCCATCCCATCCCATCACATCCCATCGCACCGCATCCCATCCCATCCCATGCCATGCCATGCCATGCCATGCCATCCCATCCCAAACAATAAAAAATAATAAGAAATTCACCTCCCAGACGTGCTGATTCCGAAAATATCTTTAGTTTTCCTCTAGGCTGCGGAGTTCTCTAGTTATGGGCGAGTACGACTAATTCGCTGAACAACTTTACTATATCATAGATATATATCCACACAGATGACTCGCCCTCGAACCTACCATCCTCTCACCAATATCCATACTCCTCTTTCCATCATTCCTCCCCCTTCCACCATCCCACTCCCCTACCATCACCACTTCACCCACCACTCTCTATACTACTCCAACGACCATCGCGACTCCCCCACAATCATCTCTCCCCCACCACCACTCCTTATCACCTCATCATCACCCAGCCCCCACCCCTACTCCCCTCACCACTCACCCCATCCCTACTCCACCACCCCACCATCACCCCATCCCCATCTCTACTCCACCACCCCACCATCACCCCATCCCCATCTCTACTCTCTCCCACATCACCCATCCCCACTCCCCCTACCTCACTCCATTCCCATCTTACTCCCTTACCATCACCTCATCCCATCCTACTCCCCCCACCATCACCCCATCCCCTCCCTACTCCCCCACCATCAGCCCCATCCCCATCCCTACTCCCCCACCATCGCCCCATCTCCCACACCATCAGCCCAATCCCATTCCCTACTCCCCCACCCCATCGCCTACTCCCCCCACCATCACCCATTCCCATCTCTACTCCCCTACCATCACCTCATCCCATCTCTACTCCCCCTACCATCACCCCATCCCATCCTACTCCCCCACCCCATCTCTACTCCCCCACCATCACCCATCCCTACTCCCCACCATCACCCCATCCCCATCTCTACTCCCCCTACCATCACCCCATCCCCATCCCTACTCCCCCACCCCATCTCTACTCCCCCCCACCAGCACCCCATTCCATCTCTACTCCCCCCTACCATCACGCCATCCACCCTACTCTCCCCCCACCCCATCCCTACTCCCGCCCCATCATCCCCCATGCCCCATCTCTTACTCCCCCTACCATCACCCATCCCCATCCCTACACTCCCCCACCCCATCTCTACTCTCCCCCACCATCACCCCATCCCCATCCCTACTCCTCCCACATCACCCATCCCCACTCCCCCTACATTCACCATTCCATCTCTACTCCCCTACCATCCACCTCATCCCCATTCCCTACTCCCCCCACCATCACCCATCCCCATCCCTACTGCCCCCACCATCCACCCCACTCCACCATCCCTTAACTCCCCCCACATCGCCCCATCTCCCCACATCACCAATCCCCATCCCTACTCCCCCACCCCATCCCTACTCCCCCATCATCACCCCATCCCATCCCTACTCCCCCCACCATCACCCCATCCCATCCCTTACTCCCCCCACATCACATCCCATCCCTACTCCCCACCATCGCCCATCATCCCCACCATACACCAATCCCATCCCTACTCCCCACCCCATTCCCTATCCCTCCCCAACCATCACCCACCCCATCTCTACTCCCCCCACCATCACCCCATTCCCCTTATCGTCTACTCCCCACACCATCACCCCATCCCCATCCCTACTCCCCCACCATCACCCATCCCTACTCCCCCCCATCACCGCCATTTCCCCATCCCTACTCCCCACCCCCATTTCCCTACTCCCCCACCATCACCCCATCCCCATCTCTACTCCCTCACATAATTCTACCCCATCCCATCTCTACTCCCCCCACCATCAACCCAGATCCCCATCCCTACTCCGCCACGCCATTCCCTACTCCCCCCACCATCACCCCCATCCCCATCTCTACTCACCCCCGACCATTCACCCATCCCCATCCCTACTCCCCCACCCAAACATCCCTACTCCCCCCACCATCACCCCATCCCCATCCCTCTACTCCCCCCAGCCATCACCCCATCCCCATCCCTACTCCCCCACCATCACCCCATCCCCAATGCTCTACTCCCCCCACCATCACCCATCCCATCCCTACTCCCCACCCCATCCCTACTCCCCCCACCATCACCCCATCCCCACCCTACTCCCGCGCCACCATCACCCCATTCCCCATTCTCTACTCCCCCCACATTCACCCCATCCCCATTCCCTACTACCCCACCATCACCCCATCCCTACTCCGCCCCACCATTCACCCCATCCCATCCCTACTCCCCCACCCCATCCCTACTCCCCCACCATCACGCCCATCCGCCAATCTCTACTCCCCGCCACCATCACCCCATTCCCCATCCCTACTCCCCCACCCCCATTCCTACTCCCGCCACCATCACCCATCCCCATCCTCACTCCCCCCACCATCACCCATCCCATCCCTACTCCCCCACCATCACCCCATCCCATCCCTTACTCCCCCACCAATCACCCCATCCACATCTCTACTCCCCCCACCATCACCGCCATCCCCATTCCCTACTCCCCCTCACCATCACCCCCATCCCTACCTCCCCCACCCCATCCCTTTACTCCCCCCACCATCACCCCATTCCCCATCTCACTCCCTGCACCATCACCCCATCCCCATCCCTACTTCACCACCCCACCATCACCCCATCCCCATCCCTACTCCCCCACCCCACCATCACCCATCACATCCCTACTCACCCCACCATCACCCCATCCCCATCCCTTACTCCCCACCCCACCATCACCCCATCCCATTCTCTACTCCCCCACCTTCATCCCCATCTCTACTCCCCCACCATCATCCCATCCACGATCCTCTACTCTCCCCACCCATCACCCCACCCAATCCCTACTCCCCACCCCACCATCACCCACATCCCCATACCTACTCCCTGCTGACCACCATCTTCCCTACTCCCCCACCACTCACCCCATTCCCATACCTACTCCACTCAACGACACCTCTACTCCCCCACCATCACCCCACCACCATCCCTACACCCCTTTCACTACCTCTTCCCTACTCTCCTGACCATCAGCCCCAACACCATCCCTACTCCCCGCACACCATCGTCCCTACTCCCCACCATCATCTCCCCCCTCCCATCCCTACTCCCCCACATCACCCATTCCCCATCCCTCTCGCCCGTCACCACCACCTCTACTCCGCCCCCTCCCATCACCCATCCCCTGCCTGCTTGCACACGTGTGCGCTCTCTTCACTCACTGTGCCGCACATAGGCTGATCTCGTAGTCCTCTGCGTTCTCTTCTCACGCTTTACGCGCGGCCGAGCATGTGCGGCCGCACGCCGGCAGACGGTGGCCAGCGCTGTACGGCGTGTCGCATGTCTGTCGGCAACGAACTGCACAGCAGCAGCCGCGCCACAGCACTGGCTGCCATCACGTCGTGTGACGGTTTCGTTACGAGAAGTGCGGCAGCACGTTGTCGCACTATGCTTGCGGCAGCCCTCCGCCGCTCACCAGCATCCGCCGTCCGGTGCCCTCTTTTACCTGTCGGGCAGATGGACCGTTAGCCGACGACATGTCCACATTTTAAAAAATATCTTTCTTTTTATTTTTTTATTTTTTAATTTTGTTTAAATATTTTTTTTTATTTCATGGTTATTATCTAGTTAATTATATAGTTATAATATATATATATATATCATATATATCATATTATCTAGATATATAAATTAACTAATTTTATAAAATAATGGTACGTATTTAATTTTTTTTTTTAGTTTATATCTCATATTTGTTTCTTTCATTCAAGCTGAACTTCTACTTCTTCTGCCAGCATCGTCATGCATTGTTATTTTTAAATTTCTAATTCGATAGCGTTTTGTCATGATGTATAACGTGTGTGTATGTGTTGTTGCATATTGTGTTGGCGAGTGTGTTACATGGTGACAAGAACCGATTAATATAGGGATTTCTCTTTAAAATGGTTCATGTAATTAGCAGTATTTACAGATCACCTAGCACCACTGATGTTAACAAGAGTAAATTACTATACCCATCCCTATCGAGACGATTTAACGTAATCTTCAGTAGCTATCTACGATGAGACAATAATCTGCTATAAGGGGTACCTGTGGTGGATCATTGGGCAGTGAGCACTGGGTGACAATAAACTGGATCATCAGGTCACCTCCCTCCTCACGCAAGTAGTCGTGGTGAGCGAGGGCGACGATGACTTGAACAAATTCCTTCTTCACCTTGTTGCTGTTCTCATTCAGCATTATCTTCAGGCCAGAGATCACTGAAGCCTTCTTCATTATGAACTGCGTACCTGCGAGGGAAATGACGTTATCGTTATCCACGTAACGTGATGTATATAAATGTTTATGAATGCGATGCAATCATTGTATTCAAACACGTTCGAAAACATCGGCCAATCACTGAACATATTCATGAGCATGCACACATTCGGTATTTCGCAAATACCGTATTTCATAAATACGAGGTCTCGTGTGAACGAGGCTTATATTCAACACATAGCATGGTATTGTATCTGCCTCCTTTGCCTATATATATCAGTGAAGTATAAAGGTCAGTAGAATGTATCATGTTCATGATAGAGTTAACCACATACATTAATCCCTCTTATACCAATTATTTACTCCCGAAAATATAAATTGTCATATTAAATGATAAAAAAAAACAGCTCTGTTATTAAATAGAGGTTTTCCTATAATCTATAGGTGCATGATAAATGATAAAAAAACTACCCCCAAAATACGACAACCCTGCAATGAAAGATGTCTTTACAACTTGTTCTCGAACCAGAGTTTTTTCCATGAAATAGAATGTCGTCACGGGGAATGCCTCATCTAATGGGCGCCTTTTATCACATGTTACTCGGTCACTTAATTAAAATTATATATAAAATTGAATTAAATTACGACGAAATCAAGCCACCCACTGTATTTTGTAGCCACCTATATTCATGCTGCAAATGATACTGTTGCCTGACCTCGCTTGGAACAGCACCTCCCTGTTACTAGTAGGGTCCCTATATACAAAGTATATAGGCACCCTAGAACTTTACTATAGCTCTAGACAGAGAAACGTGCAAAACATGTCTTCATAGAGTCACTCTGTGCCCCCTTGTGCTTAGCAATTAGCTTAAGCAACCATGCATCCATCAAGAGAATTACTATACTTCCTTCGTACAACGGGTATAATAAATTTGTGAAACTTCCGCAACAGTGCTACGGCTGTGCACGAACTGTGGTGGCGTTTTTACTATACTTTATCACTAGAACTCATATTAACAGGGTATGTAGATGGACTCATCCTCTTCTTAATTGAATACTTCGTTCAAGGATGAGATGAAACAATTTCCAGGTTTCAAGCAAAAAAACCTGGTTTTTTAACTTGTTTTCATGTTCGTATACGTTATACATATGGCTACTACGATAAATATAGTTTATTACAATATTTATGTTGTTACTAAAATCTATCACGTCTAAGATAAATTTACAATGTGATTTACCCGGTAAGTATAAAAGTAAAAAAAGCAGACTGCGTTTGCAATATTCATAATACTATATATATATATATTACCTAGTTAACAAGACACTATTCGAAACATTTGCAACGCTTCCACTGCATCGTGCACGACGCATCATTGCATCGTGATGCTATCATCGTGCATGCGTCTGTGCACAAAGACTGCCTTTATTACATAGCTGAGCAACCCATCAGGTAATTACACCTAATCTATATCATCTTGGCTGTTCAGAGGGCGGCTTTGTTACTTTACTACTCATCTATGTTCGCCACAGATGACAACAAACGTACGTAATTAATTCATATTATCTATGCCAGTATTTTGTTAACGCTTAACGCAGCCTTAGAGTAATCATTACAATTAGAAGCAGCTTACTAATCATGAAGCTTCGCCCTGGTCGGTCACAAACGTACATAATTAATGCGGATCCATGTCAGTAACGCCTCAAAGACAAACGCACATTAAAAAAACTCTTAGGGAAATTATACATCAAACGCATACGCTTGACACTCCAGTTCCGAATCAAAAACCACGATCTCATTATGAAAGTTCCCCCTGAGGTCGTGCAAGATGAGTCGTGAGGAAGTATTAATTTAATATTTTCGGTTCACCCGCAGATCATACTCAAGTGCCCCCTGAGGCCGTGCAAGGTTTGAGATAGGAAGTAATATCGCATCCTTTTCGGTTCACCCGTAGCGCATATACAAGTTCCCCTAAAGGTCGTGTAAGATTTTTAATTCGAAATATTATTAAGTATTCTTTTCGGTTCACGCGTAGCTCGTACTCATGTCTTACCGGCCGTAGTAAGGGAGATCACCACACACGCAGCACACATGCGCTAAAACAAACGGGTTAGCTCTAAAATTAAGCTTTCGTGGAATGTTTTCGAAAATGCATTTTGGCCACGAAAAGTAAATTACGCTAACCATATATTGACCTTTTCGGCTGCGTGCAAATACGACAGAAAAACACATAATTACTGCGAGGAAAATAAGCGGCACCCCCAGTAATTATAACTGCCTATAACCTCGTACTGCAAGCCGATTGGGATGTTCGCTGGCGTTCGTCGGTAGCTATAAGACCTATGTCCAGCAGATAACACCCCTCAAGGACTATTCCCTCAATCATTTACTGAACGATGAGCACACGTAAAGGGAAATTAGCCTCGCTGCTCTCCGGCACGCGTTCTGTTCGCTCACAATGACAGCAAACATCTCGAAAGTCCATACTACGTCATTCTCTCTGCATTCAAAAGTGGGTCAGGAATCAGGGACAAAGCTATAAATGCCTACTCGTGCATTACCGCTAGCGAAAGGAGTTTGCTTGGGGTGACGTGCGCGCGCGCAAAAACACGCAGGGAGGACGACGCGGGTGTCCGAATCAACTGGTGAGCATCTTATTTCAGTCTTCATTTTTCTCCTTCTTCAGCATCGCATTTTTTATTTTGAATATGAATATAACAATGAGTAAGCTCGTGCATACGGAAAAGGTGATGGATAAACCGTGTCAAACCAACTCGCAACTGTGGTCGCTGCAAAATTTCTAGCAATTATAGACTTTGTATTATGAACCTACCTATTCAATAATGTAGATGTGTATCCAACATATCGACACATCCCTATTTTATTACGATTATATATGATATTTATGTCAATACGTTTTTAATTATTCACGATTCTTTCTTTCAGAATCATGTACCGATTTCTTAGATCGGCTCTTTTAGGAGTTTTCGTCTTAAGTGCAGCTGTCACAGTATGTATTATAACAGTGCAATATTCTCGCAGTGAGCTTCTCTACTGCACAAAATCACATATTATATTAAATATGTATATAAATATAAATTTTATTCACAATAATTGTGAGAAAAATCATTAGAGTAACAACGCGGAAACGTATCAGTAGTGTATGTTAAAAAGATCTGTGAGAAAAAAATAATCAAGATTTCGCAGCTTGCAAGGTACTTCCTATGGACATCTCATTGATGAGATGGCTTACCTGAGGCATTGATGAGATGGTTTACCTGAGGCATTGATGAGATGCCGGAACACACGCAGCGCTCCAATGCGCACCTTCTCGCTTGTTGACTCCAACCTGTGAAGCAGTCCTGCCAGCATCCGATCCGAAAATATCCTCGCTGTATCAAACAAAGCAAGACATTAAAATTGGCTGTCAATTATTTGTTACTGTATTTCGGTTATATGTTTTCACGTGAGAATGTTAAAAGATAGTTTACACAGGGGAAGAATACGGATATTTTATTAGGAAAGGTATCACTTGCCTAGTATATCAAAACATCTGAGGACCTCATTCTGGTTTCTTAGCATGCCCTGGTTATTGTAGACTGGTGGTTGACATGCCTATTTAGTAATAAAATGTACATTTATCTAAATTTGTTTACACTGTGTTCTGCATAATACGTCAATAAAAATATTGCCACAATAGTGTTAGGAAATGTAAATATAGAAATGTTTGAATTCCTCAAATATATTAGTATGATGCTATGAATATTGAGTTGTCGTTGTGAAGTGCCTTTTATATAATGTAAAATACCTGCGTGAAAAGTAGCGTTAGAAGTCCTTCAACTTGTGTTTCAAGAACTGCACTGCCATTTGATGTGGCTGCATCAAGAACCATTGCTAATCCCTGTAAATTCAGAATGCATTAATATGCATTATAGTAGCAAAATGACACCTTCTTTAACTCTCTCCCACCAATTACAATGTACAACATGATAAACTGAAATTTTCTTAAGAAATATGCTTCATGGCCACATGTCATATCTCAATTGTTAGAGAGAATCCTAGACAGTATACATCATATAATATGATGTCTAGGATTCTCTCTAAGAATTGAAATCTATATACTTAAGCATTCACATGCTGAACTACAGTTTTATAAACAATTGCTTGGTTAATTTATTTGCCAATACTACATGACTAAATGACTTCTCTTAGCACTAGCATATTCCAATATCACCTTTAGTTTAATGTTGTATACAATAATGCATTTCAACTGCACTTGCTACACATAGGCTCCATATAAGAATTAAGCTGCATGCTCATGTGTGCACACCTGTGTTATATGGAATGAACTGTCCTGATGTTTAGGATAGAGTTTCATGATTCCAGATATGAGTTTAGGAAGCTGCTCTTCCAGTTTCTCTTTTTCCATTAGGTGTGCCATGTGTCCTAGAGCCTCAACGACTGCCAATCGTAGCTTTTGAGACAAAGAAGTTAGGAAAATGTAATGAAGAATGCAAACGGGATGACCGAAGACCAACACAACAACTGCTAGAAGTAGTCGTAGGATGGAATTGATCGATTCAAACGATATTTCCAGCAGAAGGTAAGGAAAATGCATACTACTGATTCTGTACCTTAGGTTCTTTTGACTGCAGCCACACATTGAATAGTACATCATATGCGCAGTCTATCTCACTGATGAATACAGCACCTGTCACTGTTGGATCAGGTGCTTTATCGATGTTTGCTATGTATTCCAATATCGCTTCACTAAACTTCGCTAGAGCTGATGCATAGAAAAAAAGCAAGCTGTTGGAATGATATTTAAAAAGTGCTTAATGGCTTGGTTTCATATATGAGGTAGCAAGCCAATACTGATACATGTATTCAGTGAAAAAAATCTTTATAAAAACAAACACTCGTTCAATAAAATTTTAATACTCTATTTTAAAGTCACATAAATAGCATGTACTACCATACACAACATCAAAATTCAAGCAATCATCCATCTGACAGAAAAGAATGAAAAACTTGAACAAGCAATAATAATTTAAGAATATTGAAGTATAATATGCTTGCTCAACAAAGATGGTTTGGGATAATGCTTACCAGCAGAGAATACCCATCTCATGTTATCATGCTTCGCCATGCCAAGCATAGGGAGCATGGTACCAAGCACAGCCTTCAGGAAAGGCAGCACCCCATAAACTGTAAGTAATATGACACTTAGATTAGGATAACATTGTGCAATAAAACTCTGACAAACATTTCACTTGTTATCGCAAATAAAGTCAATTACTATAGCGCCATTATGTGTACAAGAACTACTTACAATAATCAGTCACAGCTCATGAGTTAATATTGCATACACTGCTTTTTTACATCTGATATATTACATCATACAAATATTTAATACAAGAAGAACAATGGCGCGCTACAGCGAAAGACAGGGATTCTGACTTCAGGCTGTGCTACTATATATATATATATATATCAAGAGCTCATAATAGAGAAGAGTATGACACCGTTTTAACAGCGTTTTGCATAGTTTTCAACTTGTAAATATTCTATCAATATTAATCAATTTATCAATATGTGAATAAATATATTCAAACTTTACTTTGTTTTCGTC